CGTTCTCATTATCCATCCTATCATTTTCTTTGCCGTGCGATCTTTGGCCTGTTGTGATCCTTGAAAGTGAGATCCTCAGACATTACTACTCCCAGGTCATTTAAACATTATTTTTCGCTCTATTGTTTTGGCCAGAGTCTGTAGTATACTCTGTTCTAGTTATTATCTCCTCCAGTTTTCCATATACGGAGTAGTTTGGAATTTGTCCTCACTGAACATCATATTGTTTACCGTTCCCCACTGGAAAACTTTGTTTTATATCTTCTTGGAGGTTAACCGTTGTCCTCAGCAGATGACAGCCTCATGCAGATCCTAGTATCATCCGCAAAGGACGATATGGTGCTGTGATGTATATCTCTGTCTATGTTTGATATGAGGATAAGGAATAAGATGGGGGCGAGTACGTGCCTTGTGGAACAGAGCTCTTCACTATGGCAGCCTCCGATTTAACTCTGTTGACCATATCTTTGTGTTCGATTTGTTAGGAAGTTGAAGATCATCTCCCCCACTTTCCCAGTTATTCCTTTAGCACGTATTTTATGGGCTATTACGCCATGATCGCATTTGTCAAATGCTTTTGCAAAGTCTGTGTATATTACATCTGCATTCTGATTTTCTTCCAGTGCATCCAAGGCCTATCATAGTGATCCAGTAGTTGTGAGAGGCAGGAGCGACCTCCCCTAAAACCCATGTTGCCCTGGATTGTGCAGATTTTGGGGAAATCCAGGTGATTTGCAATTCCTGCTTCTTAGCACTTTTTTCAAAGTTTTTTTTATGATGTGGGACGTCAGAGCTATTGGTCTATAGTTCTTAGCTAATGCTTTGCTGCCACCTTTATGGAGTGGGGCTATATCCATTGGGTTTTTAAGTGACTGGAATTTCACCCATGTCCAAGCTCCTCCTCCATAGTGTACTTAGGGCACACGAGAGGGGTTTCTTGCAGTTCTTAATGAAAACAGAGTTCCACGAGTCTGGGCCCGGGGCTGAGTGCATGGGCATGTTGTCAATGGCTTTTCGAAATCTATCGGAGTTAGGGTTAATGTCGGAAATCTGGCATACATTTATGGATTTTTGGGAGGCTCATTCATGAAGAAATCATTTGGGTCGTCAATCCTCAGCCCGATTAGTGGTTCACTAAACACAGTCATACTGGGATTTCAAAATTTCACTCATTTCCTTGTTGTCATCTGTGTAAATCCCATCCTGTTGAGAAAGGGGCCCGATACTAGATGTGGTATTTGCCTTTTTTTTGGCCCATATGAAAAGGAATTTTAAATTTCTTTCAATTTCACTAATAGCTTTAAGTCCTCCGTCTCTCCTGGTTCCTGTAAGTATTTAACTTAAGTTTGATAGTTTCCACTTCCCTGGTTCAGCGCCTCCTTTCGTGTTTCAGATATTCTAGCACTCCTGAGGAGCTCAGTGACTCTTCGTTGTCTTCTGTAGAGGGAGCGTCTTTCTCTCTCCAGTTTACCCCTGCTCTTCTTCTTTCTTAGGGGAATAGGGCCTAAAACTTTGCTTCAGTTTGCCAGGAAGTTGATCCTTTCAAGGCACTGGTTTGGATCCATGTCATTTAAGATATCTTCCAAAAATGTTTCGTTTTAGGACATGGTTTACCTGGTCCCAGTTTTGCTCTTGTTGTTGAAGTTGTTTTTTTGTGAAGACACCTTCACAGGTACCAAAGCATTCTGTGAATCAGGACCCCTATGCATGTACGTCTGGACTTCGATTAGGTTGTGATCGGAATTAGTTGTTTTTTATATTCTTATGTCTCTTATCAGGTCCTCATTATTTGTGAAGATAAGGTCAAGTGTGTTTTCTAGTCTTGTTGGCTCCACTATCTGCTGGCTTAAGGTGTGTTTTTCACAGAGACTTAGTAGCTCATGTGTGTGTGACCTTTCATCTGCGCCACCTCCGGGGATTGTTTCAGCTATAACATTATTTGCTACATTCTTCCATTTTGTATGCCTTAGGTTGAAATCACCAAGCCGTAAGATGTTTGGGGATGGAGCTGAAAGGTTTTCCAGACAGTAATAAATTTTCAGTAGCAGTTCCTTGAACTGTTGTGAGGTTGCATCTGGTGGCTTATATACAACCCCAATGACTAGGTTTTGGTTCTCGATCTTTACTGACAGAACTTCAACTACCTCATTTGTGGTGTTCAGCAACTCCGTGCAGATGAGGGACTCTTTGACATACAGGCCAACCCCCCCTTGTTGCCTGTTCATTCTGTCGCATCTAAAAAGGTTGTAACCACTTATCCATATTTCACCGTCAAAGTGATCTTTTGAGCGAGTCTCTGTGAAAGGGTGCAAACATTGCATTAGACTCCTCTAGAAGTCCACTGATAAAAGGTATTTTGTTGTTGGTGGATGGCTTAAGGCTCTGTATATTAGCAAATATCAACGAGGTTGTATTCTGTGTTTGTTGGGGGGGATTTTGTTATTGGGCATCAGTAGTTGAATTCTGGAGGGCCATGGGTGGCCACTGGCTGCACCTCCAGTTTCCCAAAAAGGCTCCAAGGTGGTGGATATTTTTGTTATTCCTTTCATTTTCTTTTTCCCGTTTCCAGCCACTAAAAAATCACCTGGAGTTGGGTTGTCGTAGCTACTATTGTTTGTCTTGTGGGGTCTGTGCCTCCTGGTCCCTTTTAGATGGTATGCAGGGTAAATCGATGTTTGTAACACTGCTTCTGGAGGACCGAGGAGTGACACATTTTTGGGGTGAAAGAAAGTACAGGAAGAAAAAACGCACACTCCTTTAGACAGGAGGTCGCTACATTTTTGGGATGCTCAAAGTTGATATCCATTTTTTTTACCTGATATTCCATGCTTACAGATGTCCAAGCATAAAAATTTGACAAATTCACCTTTGGTTGAGAATTGTTGGGAGGTGTGGGTTTTCAATTTCTGCAGGTTCTGGGAAATGCCCCTATAATCCTCAGTATCCAAGCCAGGGCCACCCGTCCTGGATTCTATCTACTTTCCTCAGTAGAGGAAGGAGGAGGGCTCCTCTCCAACATCTGTACTGTGGGCCACGGTTTGTGCAATGATGGTTGTTTTATTTACGGTTTTGTGGTGGTTGTGGTAGGGTCCCCAGTAGAGTCTGGGTGGCAGTAAGGGCTGGGGGCTGGGTCTGAGTCAACACTGGGGGGTGGGGGGTGAGCTGGGCCAGCACCAGCACTGTGGGTATTAGTGCTATGGGTGGGGGATGGGTCTGGTTTTTGCACTATGTGGGTGACTAGATAGATTCGAGTCATCTGTTGTGGTATGGGCATTCTGCATTTTTTGATACACTATCTCTTGCTCCCATGTTTTATATATTTTTGGTAGACTATCCAAGAGGTCATCCTTGTTTTCTTGATTATTTTTCTCATTTATTACTCTCCTTAGTACCTTTCTGATACCTGCCCAAAGTTCTACATCTTTATTGCACAACCAGAAACACCTTGCTAGTTCGAGGTCATTTTTTGAGGCTGTATTTAGTCTAGTACAAGAGAGATGGTGTTTGGAAAAGCATAGATTGCATGTGATTCTGGATTTCCTTCCAAGGATTTTTTTTTTCCTTCCAAGGATTTTTTTACATGTCCCACAGATATGCTGTGCTGACATCCTGTCTGTATCCTACTACACACTGTATGCCACGGAAGAAAACTGATTTCCACTTTACCTTTCTCTTGCTGGTGCCAGCAATATGCAAGATGTATTTATACGAACCAAGTTTGCAGTATGTGGGTGGTGGTGTAGGGTGGGTGGTGGGTGGGTGTGAGGGCAGGACTTACCCACACTGCCACACTTCACTATTATTTTTATTATTATTATTATTATTATTATTATTTAATTTCCTTTTATGTAGTGCTGTACACTGTTTATCTCAAGGATATACACTGTATTCTTTCAAAATACACTTTTCACTGCGCTATACTGGGATCATTGTTTTATTATTTACGCAGCAGCTGGGCCTACGCTAACTTTCCCCTACACTTCTATGGAAAAGTTTATTTCCTGTTTAGTAGAGGTAACAGTTGTATGCTCAATTTATGTATGCTTTTGGGTTCCCTGCCCCTCAATGCTACCACCACTCGTTTTATCTCTTATGACTATAGTAACTACTCATCCGTTATTAACACTTCACGGGACCTCTGGCAATAGTTCGCTAGTGCCAGTCGCTTGTAAGACATTCCCATATCTACACTATATATTGTACGCTATACTGGGGGATAATTAAGATTACTCTTATCTACAATTTAGTTCACTATGTCACTGCACATATATATTCTTGTCACTCACTATATTACTTATAGATAGATCAATATTTGTTTATTTCCACTTGTGTCGACATCAGGCAATAATTCACTAGTGCTGGTCAGGTCTATTTCCCACAGTAACCGTTCCTCCACTGGCACTCTCCATTTGACCCTATAATCTATATTTTCCTATTTAGTGTTCACTGATATTCCTTTTTTGTTTGTTCAAAGGAGTAGTATATGCACTTTATGGTTGCACACGCTTATTTCCCGCATTCTGTTCCCTCTGCTACTATCAAGACACGCAGTTTTTGACGGAGCACAACCGCGCGCGACTGTCCCTGGTGTAACCTATTATACTCCTAGGTAGACACCTAGTATTTTATCCAACTAGGACAAAAGAAGTTAAATTTATAATACTGTATGAAGATAACAGGAAAATCTTGTTTTAATATTAGGAAATCCCCCCCAAATTTATAATTTTCTCTTAAAAAAGAAAAACAATCATTTCTACATGTACGGCTACTGCATAAAATTTCAAGGTACAGTATTATGCAATTTTTGAAAGAACAAACAAAAAAGTTGTTCATATTGGACAAACAGTTCATGTTAGACAAACAATTTATTTCTCTCTCAATTTATTAGTTTACATATGTACATATTCTTAAGTCATAGTCTATAGAAAGGAAATATGACAGAAAATCATCATTACTTTTATAAGAAAACTTAATATTATGAGAAATTGAAATCAACTCACCTGAGTATACAGAAGGAACCAATGTATCCAAAGGCATTTACTGTCAAGAAGCAGACAGAAGTAATGTAATCTCTTAACAACTTCTGTCCATATTTATGATTTAGTTTCCGGTACTTTACGAGTCCAGTGAGCTTTAAAAAATAAATTTACAAATATCATTAACAACTAGTGCAAATTGTGTAATGCAATCATAAGTGTATTTTCCATGTGCAGAAAACAAAATAGAGTAGCCCCTCATTTATCATAAGAAATAATTTAATATAATTAATGCTCTTTCACACACAAGCAAAAGGAAAGAGGACTAAGAGCACTGAAAATGCCCTTGTTTAATGGAGGTTATAGAATAGACAACAATAAAATAGACAGAAGATTTTGCTAGCAGCATCAAGAGGGAGAACAAGAGGCCACAATTTAAACAGGGCTCAAAGAATAACAGAAAATACATTGTATCTTCAGATAATGTTGACCTGGTGGAATGGAACATAAGTGAGAAAAGTTGTACTATAACAACTGGAGACTAGGAAATTATATGGCAAACTAAATGCTTAAGAAGGAATGCCACAAGATTTTATAACTTTTTTTTTTTTTTTTTTTCAACAAGTCGGCCGTTTCCCACCGAGGCAGGGTGACCCCCCCCCCCAAAAAAAAAAAAAAAAAAAAAAAAAAATCCCCAAAAAGAAAATACTTTCATCATCATTCAACACTTTCACCACACTCGCACATTATCACTGTTTTTGCAGAGGTGCTCAGAATACAACAGTCCAGAAGCATACACATATAAAGACACACAACATATCCCTCCAAACTGCCAATATCCCAAACCCCTCCTTTAAAGTGCAGGCATTGTACTTCCCATTTCCAGGACTCAAGTCCGACTATATGAAAATAACCGGTTTCCCTGAATCCCTTCACTAAATATTACCCTGCTCACACTCCAACAGATCGTCAGGTCCCAAGTACCATTCGTCTCCATTCACTCCTATCTAACACGCTCACGCACGCTTGCTGGAAGTCCAAGCCCCTTGCCCACAAAACCTCCTTTACCCCCTCTCTCCAACCCTTTCGAGGACGACACCTACCCAGCCTTCCTTCCCCTATAGATTTATATACTTTCCATGTCATTCTACTTTGATCCATTCTCTCTAAATGACCAAACCACCTCAACAACCCCTCTTCTGCCCTCTGACTAATACTTTTATTAACTCCACACCTTCTCCTAATTTCCACACTCCGAATTTTCTGCATAATATTTACACCACACATTGCCCTTAAACAGGACATCTCCACTGCCTCCAACCGTCTCCTCGCTGCTGCATTTACCACCCAAGCTTCACACCCATATAAGAGTGTTGGTACTACTATACTTTCATACATTCCCTTCTTTGCCTCCATAGATAACGTTTTTTGACTCCACATATACCTCAACGCACCACTCACCTTTTTTCCCTCATCAATTCTATGATTAACCTCATCCTTCATAAATCCATCCGCCGACACGTCAACTCCCAAGTATCTGAAAACATTCACTTCTTCCATACTCCTCCTCCCCAATTTGATATCCAATTTTTCTTTATCTAAATCATTTGACACCCTCATCACCTTACTCTTTTCTATGTTCACTTTCAACTTTCTACCTTTACACACATTCCCAAACTCATCCACTAACCTTTGCAATTTTTCTTTAGAATCTCCCATAAGCACAGTATCATCAGCAAAAAGTAACTGTGTCAATTCCCATTTTGAATTTGATTCCCCAAAATTTAATCCCACCCTCTCCCGAACACCTAGCATTTACTTCCTTTACAACCCCATCTATAAATATATTAAACAACCATGGTGACATTACACATCCCTGTCTAAGACCTACTTTTACCGGGAAGTAGTCTCCCTCTCTTCTACACACCCTAACCTGAGCCTCACTATCCTCATAAAAACTCCTTACAGCATTTAATAACTTACCACCTATTCCATATACTTGCAACATCTGCCACATTGCTCCTCTATCCACTCTATCATATGCCTTTTCTAAATCCATAAATGCAATAAAAACTTCCCTACCTTTATCTAAATACTGTTCACATATATGCTTCAATGTAAACACTTGATCTACACATCCCCTACCCACTCTGAAACCTCCTTGCTCATCCTCAATCCTCCATTCTGTCTTACCTCTAATTCTTTCAATTATAACCCTACCGTACACTTTTCCTGGTATACTCAGTAAGCTTATTCCTCTACAATTTTTACAGTCTCTTTTGTCCCTTTCCCTTTATATAAAGGGGACTATACATGCTCTCCGCCAATCCCTAGGTACCTTCCCCTCTTTCATACAATTATTAAACAGAAGTACCAACCACTCCAACACTATATCCCCCCCTGCTTTTAACATTTCTGTCATGATCCCATCAGTTCCAGCTGCTTTACCCCCTTTCATTTTACGTAATGCCTCACGTACCTCCCCCACACTTACATTCTGCTCTTCTTCACTCCTAAAAGATGGTTATACCTCCCTGACCAGTGCATGAAATTACTGCCTCTGTTTCTTCCTTAACATTTAAAAGTTCCTCAAAATATTCTCGCCATCTACCTAATACCTCCATCTCCCATCTACTAAGTCCCCTACTCTGTTTTTAACTGACAAATCCATATTTTCCCTAGGCTTTCTTAACTTGTTTAACTCATCCAAATTTTTTTTTTTTCTTAAAATTTTTGACAGTGCCTCTCCCACTTATCATCTGCTCCCCTTTTTCACTCTCTCACCACTCTCTTTCCCTTTCTTTTACCTCCATATACTTGCTCTTCTTATAACACTTCTGCTTTGTAAAAACCCCTCCTAAGCTCCTTTTTCTCTTTTATACACCCTTTACTTCATCATTCCCACAATCACTCCTTTTCCTCGCCCCCACCCTCCATAAACCAAAAACTTCTGCCCCAATTTAATACTGTTTTTTTTTAAAACTATTCCAACCCTCTTCAACCCCCCCATACTCATCTTTGCACTAGCCCCCTTTCTGCCAATAGTCGCTTATACTACCCGAAACTTCCCCTCCCTTAGTTTAAAAACCTTTCACCTCCCTCTTACTTGTTGTGCACCTTCCCCTTTTTTCCCATCAACCTCTTACTCAAAACTGTAGCTACAAACTAAAAAATGACCCGATATAAACAGTTGCCCCCCTATAAACATGTACCCTGGAGCCCCCATAACCTTTTATCCCCCAATAATTTAAACTAATAAACTACTTTCATTAGTGCTTCATGTACCCTTTTTTTTATTTATTCTCTTTTTTTATAAATAGTTTACTTATTACCAAAATTTCTTTTTAACAAGCTCAATTAAAAGGCCCCATTTACATTTACCCCGGCACCCAAAAATTTTCCCACTACTCCCCTAACATTTTTACCACTTTGCATTGAAAACCCCAACCCCATTTCTCTCACACTTGATTCAAAACTCCCCCGATTCACTCAAAATTTCCCCAAAAACTCTCTTCTCATCTACACTCTCTCTTCTCCAGGTGCATACACGCTTATTATAACCACTTTTCACATCCAATATTCATTTTTACTCCACATAATCCTTGAATTAATACATTTATAGTCCTCTTTTCTGCCATAGCTTATCCTTCAACATTATTGCTACTCCTTCTTTAGCTCTAACTCTATTTGAAACCCCTGACCTAATCCCATTTATTCCTCTCACTGTAACTCATACCCACCCCCTACAGTTTGTTTCACTTAAAGCCAGGACATCCAGCTTCTTCTCATTCATAACATCCACAATCATCTCTTTCTTATCATCTGCACAACATCCACGCACATTCAGACTTCCCACTTTGACAATTTTCTTCTTCTTATTCTTTTTATAACTATAAACAGGTAATCACAATAGGCTCATTCCATGTCAAGTGGACCAGGGGTGAACACCTGATCATCTCCAATTTCGATAAAATTTTGCATAAAAGGTTGGCATGTATGTTATACCAATGTCAGAAAAGTTTTAGTTCATGATATGCAATAGTAGTAATGCTATAACCCTCAGATTGGAGGCAGGTGAAAATTTCACCAACCAGAAGCACACAATCAGCAATGTTCAGGTTACTGCTGAGGCAGATCTTGAAGAGTAAAGTTGTGTAAGCAGAGATGCCTATACGTACTACAACTTTTGGAGCTTATCTCAAAAATTGCAGTCATAAAACTTGCATACCTGGAGTATACCTGGAGAGTGTTTTCGGGGTCAATGCCCACGGCTTCATCTGTCACTAGGGCTTGTGGTGGATCAGGGCCTGATCAACCAGGCTGTTACTGTTGGCCACATGTAACCCAACATACTAACCACAGCCTGGCTGGTCAAGTACTGACTTTAGGTGTCTGTCTAGCACCTTCTTGAAGACAGCAGGGGTCTACTGGTAATCCCCCTTATGTATGCTGGGAGGCAGCTGAACAGTCTTGGGTCCCCTGACACTTATATAATGGTTGTCTCTTATCGTGTAGTGGTGCCCCTGCTTTTCCACTTGGGGGGATGTTTTTGCATCGTCTGCTGAGTTTTTGCTTTCATAGGTGCAAATTTTAGTGTGCAAATTTTAGTACTAATCGCTTTTACTTTTTTCATGTATGATGCCAAGCAAAATGAAATCTTGAATTTAGCCTGCCTATATACTAAAGGAAAATTCTTTTAGTATTACCCCAATATTATAGCCAGCTACAATCCTATATATCAGACTCCACACATTTTAGTTCCTGAGAGAGATGAGTACCTAAAATGCCTCACAGACCTCATAAGTGAATTTTAGTCCATTTTTGAAGACCAATAGCAAAAAAGCAGCACAACCCAAAAAAAAAAATTAGAAAGAGCAGATTCTAAGCTACAAGCTATCTATTTTCTGGATAGGCATTTTGCTTTTCAAGGCAGAAAACAAGCCTTAAAATAAATTAATTTTTGGCTTGCACAGCATTATACTGAAAACCAGGCATTTTTCAGTTGCTGCTGTTATAGAGCAAAAACAGCTAGAACCTCATATTTAGGAGTTCTTACACAATTTTCGGTGGCAGTTTCAGAAATTGTTATCTCAACTAATTGGGACTGGTATTTATTTTGTAAAGTAAGCTTAAAGTTCTCAAAAAAGCTTTGTGA